TGACAGCACATAATATAAAGTAATATCAAGCATTATCCATAGATATTAATGGAGGCAGGATTCCAGGGACAGACAAAATATTACCATAGGGAACTGGCCTACTTTATTATTTTTATGTAGGTTCAGATGTTAGTTATTTCATAACATAAATGCTTTATTCCATCAACTATAACCTCATCTCACAGAGTTGCCCTATTTCCTGGTGGAATACAAGCAAATAAACATTTAGGCGCTTAATGGAAATGTATTTTCTCTTCTTTCTCTGCCTTCTTTTGTAGAATAGAATTAGTTTTTCCTTAACAGTGGTCTCTGCTCTTTCAAACCACATCCAGGTCCCAAGGAGAACACTGTAAGATGAACTCCCACAGATATTTCAAAGTTGGGGACTGCTGTGGTTTGCAGAGTGTCCCCTACAGGTCCATGTGCTAAAGCTTGGCCCGCAGCACTTGGCATTGTTGAGGGGTGGTGGAACCTTTAAGAGGTGGGGCCTAATGGGTTTTTTAGGTCATTGGGAGTATGGCCTTGAAGAGGATAGTGGGACCCTGATCTCTTCCTCTTCCTTTCTCTTCTATTCCCAGCCATGAGATGAATGGCTTAGCTTCACCTTATGCTTCAGCCATGATGTGCTCACACAGACCTTGAGCAGCAGGGCAGATTCATCATGGATTAAAACCTCCAAAACTTTGAGCCCAAATAAACTTTTCTTCTTTATAAGCTGATTATCTCAAGTATTTCATGACAGACATGGAAAAATAACACAGGTATCCTTTCATTAAGATTTAACAGGATGGGGCTGGGGATGTGGCTCAAGCGGACCGGGTTCGATCCTCAGCACCACATACCAACAAAGATGTTATGTCCGCCGAGAACCAAAAAAAATAAATATTAAAAAAATTCTCTCCCTCTCTCACTCTCTCTTTAAAAAAAAAAAAAAAAGATTTAACAGGAGGGGAAAAAAAGATTTAATAGGAGGTCTCATTAAAAGTTATGCTGACGTGACAGCAAACTACTCAATTCTTTCAAGACCCAGTGGAAATGATAATTTTGTGTGATGTAACTAAACATCTTGATGGCTGACTTCATTATTTAAATGTTGATCTGTTTGCTTTTGATGTTGTAAATGCAAAGCCTTAACTCAAAAATAACAACTTATCTCAGAGTAATACTTTACCAGTAGGGAAGAGCTTCTGGGGATAGCCCAAACTAAATGGATCTCCTCAATTGAGGAGAGAGAAAAACAATGATGTAACATTCATGGAAACTCCATTGTGACCTGGATTATTGGAATTTTTTCAAGTTTTATAAATCCTATTTGATCCTATTTTTTATTGAAAATAAAAGTTATGTGATAGGTTCAAGAAAACAAAAAATGTCCCTAATGGGCAATGTAGGTCAGGGCTAGAAGTAAACATGGATTTTCAATTCCTTTCTCACTTCATCACCCAAGCAAAATCAGAATCAAAACAAAATAAAAATAATATGATGGTCCATGTCAAGCACTGTGCTCATGCTCAAACAAGGATGCAAAGAAATTTAACATGCCCTCCCTACCTGGATGCTTTTCACTAGCTCAGACCTCAGATGTCTTCCTCTGATAACATCCTTAGCTAATGCATTTTAAATGACTGAATCAATAATTTGATGTGTTATTTCTGTAAGATTCTAAGATGGTCCACAAAACATTATTTAAAAATTCATATTTCTACACACCAGATGTGTCCCTATTGTTCAAAATCAATATTGATTCTCTGGCAGGAGAACCAAAGGCAGCTCTACAAAAGATTCCTCATGGATATTCCTACAATTTTCAGCAAATAGATGTGAGTAGAAAGCAGAGCTGGGACCCCGTATCCAGGATTTTAGTTCCATCAAAGTGCCATTGCTGATGGGTTCCTGAGCACCATCTAGAAAGAACCCCACTGTGGGGGTTGAAGCAGGCTAGCCAGAAGAACTGTGACCCTCCTCTTCCCTGACTCCCAAGTAATTTTCTATCCATGCTAAATTGGTCCTTCAATGGGGGCTGGAAACTTCCAGAATGCAGAGTTGAAAAGCCCATTGCTGTAATGTTCTTGCTCTTCACATTCTACCAGTCCCTGGAGAAATCTCCTAGACCCTGAGAGATTTCAATTTAGTTTCACTCCATCCCAGAAGGAGTATAGAAAACCTATTAGTGATAAGTCCCTAGGGACTTAAGTTTGGGGAGAAACAATAATATTTTGCCTTCTTTTTTTTGGGGGGTATGCATACCAGGAATTAAACTCAGGGGTTCTCATATCCCCAGCTATTTTTTATTTTTTTATATATATTTTATTTAGAGACAGAGTGTCATTGAGTTACTTAGGGCCTCACTAACTTGCTGAGACTGGCTTTGAACTTGTGATTCTCCTGCAGACTTCACTGTCATTCTAGCTCCTCAATTACTTGAAACAGTTCAAATTTCAAGCACCACAGACCTTCTCCCCTGGACATACCAAAAACAAAGGCAATTCCAGAGTCTAGGCTCCATGGCTCCTAAGGGGGAAAAAGCAAAGCCAACTATGGGCTCTGGATGCATCTCACTCCCAGCATCAGCTCAGCCCAGGCCCGGTGCAGGAAGGCAGGCAGAATGACCCCTTAGTCCCTGTCCCTGAATGTCAGATGTGTAAAATCTGAGCACCAGTCTGGAGTTTGCATCTCATTTGGGTTTCAGAGCTTTGTTTTTATTTTTTTATTTTTTTTTTCCCCCTCCAGTCTAATTACATTTTCCCTGTGAGGAATAACTCCTGTCCAGTAGGTATTCATCTGTGGAAATCTGTCTCAGTGAAGGCAGTGGGCAGCTAATCTCTGTTCATGCAGTGAGGTGCAGACTCTTAGGAGCACTCTAGCTGCCCCAGGTCTGTCCATCTCAGGCCTGTGATTCAGAGAACAAAGGCTAGTCCTTGACCCTGGTTCCCTCTCAGCTTCCTCCCTTTCATTATCTCCTCCTATAGTGTCAGCTGTCAGGTTACTTTGTCACCTCCAGCAGGGTGGGGAAAGCTTTCTCCTGTGGAAATAAAACTGCAGCCTCTTTCTCACAATCCCTTCCTGTGGGCTGGGCCTTCCAGCCCGACCCTGGCAGTGCAGCCCAATGGGGGGTGAATTACACTGAACTTTTAAGAGCTTGAGTGAAATCACCTCTGACAGAGGCAAACTACTTCAGTAAAAGAGTTGTCCACACTCTTGGTTATATCTCAACTCAGCTGCTCATCTCCCACTCTGAATTTCCAAAGAAATTTCTGTTTTGCTTCTGGGTTTAGAGCATGGGTATTAATGGGAGGAACTTAAGAATGTGGGCCTATCGAAGCAGCTGACCCTTATAGGGCCACAGCTGACAGCAGGACAAGGTGTGGGGTTGAAGAATCCACCACGGACTGCATGAATCAGGGTGTCCTGTCTCTGACATGGGAACTGACCTCAATGGTCTCAGAAGGCAGAGTACTGCTGGCCAGAGTCACCATCATCTCTGTATAGTGTCTAGAGATAAATGCATATTTGCTGTCTAAGGACTCTCAACATCCACACACCCTACTCCTAGAAAAAAGCCACAATTTTCATTTGGAAATGCATCACCAACCCAAATCTTAGTCTAGGTATATTTGACAGAGCTACATACCACCACACCTCCATCTATCAAAGCCACTCGTTTTTCTGACTCTGTAACTGGTGTGCAAGTGACCCCATCAAAGCCAGACAGAGTCCATGAGGCCTTAATGGAAAATCTAGATTGAATTTTCTACCAGATTTAAATCTGATCCTACAGCCCCTGTCATGGTGATACCACAAGGTCAATCCTATCTGAAATGGAACCAACACAGAGCAGAGTACAGTCAAGTAAGGAGGCAGAAAGAAACTACTTTCTGATAACAGAATATGTGCCCTGGACCTTTTTACTCAAATCATTTTGAATTAAATTTTTTGTTCACTTACAAACAAAAATGCACTATTAATACAAAGAAAGCCAAAACAAGTAACAGAGACCAGAAGTGAGGAATACCCAGCACCAGATCCACAGATAGGGAGGCAAAGAAGTAGAAGAAGCATTGGATAATCCTAAGCCTGGCATTCAGGTCTTGAGTCAGTGCTCTCCATGATTTAACTACAGAGGAGCCACACAGAGAACTCTATAGATTCCCAGTCATTTCCACAACCAGTTTGGATCCTTGAGTCTAGAATGGGAACCTGGGATCTGGTATCCAGGCAATTTGGAGGCAGATAATGCAGAAATTCACTTTGAGACACACTGACCTGACTTCTGAGCTTAGGATTAACAGAGTTTTGTTTGGGGGGTGGGGTGCCATGTACAAGAGAAGAATATTAGTTCAGGGTTTAGAAAGGGACTGCAGGGACAAGTTCCTTAGTGGGTAACTATGACATTGTGAAACTGAGGATCACAAGCAATGATTTTAGAGCTGGAACATCATACAACAGTTTGGAGAAGTAGGAACAATGGCTTGATCTGAAGCACCGAGTGAAAATTTTCAAGTATAAACTACTCTCATAGGTTGATCTCAGCTGTTCCTACCAACCAATCTCTCCAGCAACTAGAGACTGGGAAACTAAAACTCAGAACATCTAAATAGCATGCACAAAGCCACATAGCTAACTTGTCCAATAGCCTAGACCTGGGTCCAGATCCTAGCCTAGACCTACTGATGCCAAACCCCACACTTTTTAAATAATTCCCATTTCAGATGGCAAAAAGGCTGGGACTCACAAAGGTCAGCCTCCATGCTTTGATCAAAATCAGGATCACAATGAGAAGACCCTGTTCAGCCGGACGTAGATGAGGGAAGGGACCACTCCACCTGATAAAGCAGGAAGCCAGGACCATTGTAACACCTTGAGTTTCCTCAATTCATTTTGCCTAAAATACCCTGCCCCAGCCTGGGATGGAGAATAAGGGAGGAAAGATCACCTTTGGAAGCAACGGAAATGATTCTCTTTTACAACCAAGTCAACCCCTGTCATTGGCATGAGCCTACCTGTGCTCCTGCTCTGCCCTTGAAAGATGAGAGGTGGACTCTAGTAACAATAGGGTTGTAAGTCATCTAATCCTCAACAGCAAAGTGCAACAGGCCTCATCTGATGTTAATTCAGTTCAGGGCAAGATTTTATGCAGCAACTACACTGTGACATCACAACTGAAAAAAAAATAAATGGTACAGTATGGGCAGGAGGAGCATATGGCAAGCTAGGAGGTTCTAGAATGTCTCTAAAGCTAACTTTTAAAGGGAAAGATATGTAGGTAATGGAGGAGGACTGGAATAAGGAAGAGTCTATGTGTGGTCAGAATTCCCTGCAGGGTCATAGGAGGGGTTGACTACTGATGAGGTCATTTCATCCTTCTTTGAAATGCAGCTTAGAAGTGGACAACCTCACCAGATGAGACCGATAGGGATCCCTAGAGACCTCACCACAGGACCAGCGGGTGTCCAGAACCAAACTTTGTCCCTAGTCTCTATATAGCATCTCGAAATAGGGTACCTCCTGCCCCTCATTGCTGGAACATTGATAAGTGACAATGAAATAGAACTGATGATTTATAACAGACTTACCTGAATTCATTTTCTTTACATATAAAAATAATACATAACTAATATAAAAATAAATATTTCTCAAATTTCATTACCTAAGGTTAATTGTTATCAATATTTTGGTCCAAATTCTTGTAGATAATCTTTAAAGAGAAGTTGGCTGGGCATGGTGGAGTATACCTGTAATCCCAATGAATCAGGAGGCTGAGACAGGAGGATCTCAATTTCCAGGTAAACCTTGGCAACCCTCTCTCAAACTATAACAGGTCTGGGGATAGATCTCAGTGGTGAAGCACCTGTAGGTTCATTCTACAGTAAACCACCCCCCTTGAAATAAAGTGTGAACATACTATAGATATTGTTTTTCTAAACTGCCATTTATTATAAGCATCTTTCCGTCAGATATTTAAATGTAATATAACATTAGTGTTTAAATAACATTTCCTGTATAATTAACCAATCCCTGTTATTAAACTTTTAGATTTGTTTCAATTTTTTACTCCTATAATCTTTAAAAGTGTTTTTAATTAAATTCTTAAGAGAAATTTCTAGAAATTTTATCTCAGATATTTTTTAAACTCTTGATACATGTTGGAAAATTGTTCCTAGGGGCAACATTCTTTGAAAAGTACCCAGCATTTAATTTAAATATTAAAATATTTAACTTTGATAAATGTAAACTTCTATCTTTTCTTTTTCATTCCAAATGTTGTGTGTCCCACCCACTTTAAGTGTCTCTTCACACTGACGAGACAATTGGCAAATGCTAACACTTCACAGTTTGCAAAGCACCTTGACACACTTTTAATGCTTCTAACAACTGTGAGGGATAGGAGTTACTATTAGTCTTCCCGTATGCAAATGAGACCCAGAGAATTTGAGAGATTTCTCCAAATCCTCATGGGGAAGAGACATTGGGAATGAGATAAAAATCAAGTTCATTTATCTCTTAGTCCTAGTTGTTCTTCCACCTAGGTTGCTCGTTAGAATGTACCATCGTCAGGATTGTGATTTAATTCTCCTGGTGTGGATGTCTGTGATGAGTGAACACTCTTAGACCCGTTTGAGAATCTGATGGAAATGATAGCTCTACTTCCCAGAAAAAGGGACACACATATGCACACATAAAAAATAGACACAATTCAGGAGGAAAGAATCTGAAAGACCTGCAACCACAAATGGGCCCAGAGTATAAAGACTTCACTCTAAGATTCAGTTAGTGCATCATGAATTAACACGGTAGAAGGCAGAATTCTAAGATGACCCCAGTGAATCTTGCTCTTATATAATCCCTTCCCCTTTGAGTGTGGGTAGAACCCACTGTCAATCCCAGGATTATGTATGGCAAAACATACCACAAAAGAGAGATTTCCTGGGCAGGCCCAATGTGATCATATGAACCCTTTAAATCTGGATCTAGGGATCAGAGGATATGAAAGCTAGAGATGCAACGCATAAAAGAGATTCAATACAGTTCTCCTGCTGACTTTGAAGATGGATCAGACCCTGTGACAAGAACCTGAGGGTGGTCTTTATGAGCTGAAAGTACACACCTACCAACAGACATCATGAATATGGGATTCACAGTCCTACAACCTCAGGAACTGAATTCCACCAATTATCAGGAGAGTTAGAGAAAGAACTGGAGCCTCAGATGAGAAACAATCTTGTCTGCTACCTGATTTCAGTCCTGTGAGATCCCAAGCAGAGAACTTAGTCATATGGTAACTAAATTTTTGTCCTATAAAACCTGGGAAATAAGATTATTGAACACAAACTAAGTTCCAAAGTTTGTGGTCATTTGATAGGCAGCAATAGGAAATTAATCAACCTGATATATCTGAGCACCTGATAAGTTAACATTGAGATAACTCTTATAAGGGATAATAGCATTTTGGCTTACCATTCCTGGCCTGCCTTCCATGAGCATCTGGTGATGGATGGACACACACACACCTGAAGAGAGCCTGTGCTGAATGCTATGTATGAATAGTGCTGAAACTGGATCTGCTTTAGGAGTCCAAAGAAAGGAGGTTTCATTGGAACAGGGCCACTGTCAGAAGACCACTGACAAACAGGAGGACCACGATCTGTGCTATGGGGAAGCCGCGGTGTGAACAGCAGCCATGGGTAGGAGTACTCTGAAAGTGGAGGAGACAAATCTGGAGCAGGGACATCAGAGCGTTTCCAGAAAACACTCTCAGACCTGTTTGAGAATCTGATGGAATCTGATGGAAATGAGAGCTCTACTTCCCAGAAAAAGGGACACACATATGCACACATAAAAAATAAACACAATTCAGGAGGAAAGAATCTGAAAGACCTGCAACCACAAATGGGCCCAGGATCAGTCATGATCAATGGGAAATAATTCCAGAAAAGTAGGAAAAGACCAAATTGTATATAGTTTGGACCTTTGATCCCGGGTCTGGTCATCCCTCCATGTTCCATGAAAATCCATGGAAGATGCACTAACTAGAGTGACTTTCTAGGAGGCAGGCTTTAGGAAAAGAGATCTGGGCTCTCGTGACAGACCCATTTCTGAATGTTCTACTTAGTTTGTCCCCATGTTTTTATTGCCTATGGAAGGAAGATGTGCTGAGTAAGGCAGCTGTGGAATCTTGCTCCTGCCCAACCCCACACCACCATCATGGATTTGCTGGCCCATCTTTACCATCTGAGCTCCTCTGCCCTGGTGCTAGTGGTCCAAGGGTAGCACACACTGCCAACCAAAGGAGACAGATCTCTGGCCAGCACAGCCCATGTGACATCCCTTTTATTTTTTTTCAATCCTCATGGCTCCTTGCTTTGCTGAGATTAAAAAAAAGTTACTCTCTCAGGACTTGATAAATGGTACGATCTGCTCTTTCTTAGAGAAAGCGAATATGGTATATATGAGCTGCTTCTGCTTTTGAATATTTCATTTATCTTGTGCCAGACCATCAACAACTACAGCAGATCAAAGTCAATATAGAAAGGGGGAAATTTCTTTTAGCAGTTTTGAGGGTTTATAACTGATATCAGACAGCTCCAGAGCTATGAAAACCAGTGGAAATTGAATTTATGATTCGGTGTTGGCTCTTATAAGTAGAAATTTGATGCAAAAGCTCTAATGTGTTGGCCATAAAGGGCTAGCTTTGTCAAATCATCCATTTACATAAAGTTAAATTTATTACTGGTTTATCCCCACAGTATGGTGCTCAGCACATACACACAGTTCTGCCCTCTTTCAGCAGTTTGAACTAGGAGACTTTGTCTATCCTTATGGCCCTCAGTTTCCTCCTCTGTAAAATAGGAATAAGAACATGATCCAGGGTATGTATGGCTAGCTCATGCTATGCCACAGGTTAGGGCTATCTCACCTGGGAATGCCATGTTATTTACCTATCACCAGTAAGATAAATGTTCATTGCACAAAAATTTAAAAGTGTTTCTACCACAGGCTGGACACTGTGTGAGGTTCACTTCCATCTGTGTTAATGGATTTGTGAGACCAGCCCTCATTCTCAGACTGTTGGTGGTGTGCCAGGTTTTATGAACATTGGAATAACCTAGGGAGTTTTTTTTTTTTAATTACTAATGCCTGTTCCTACCCCACCACTACGATTCTGATTTCATTGGTTTGGGTGCAGCCTGGTCCTTGGGATTTTTTAACTCTCCCTAGGTGATTCCAATATGCATCCAAGTTTGAGAGTACACAAAGCCAAGTTAGCAGTGCAGTTAGGGACTATGAAAAGGCCAAGCCACAGGAAATTGGCCACACTTAATTCATGACATGGGCCTCATCCACACCTGCTGAATCCGTTGGCACCCAGGAGGGCAAAGAGCTGGCTCAGGGGATGTCACTGTCGGAGGCAGGAGAAAATGAAGAAGCAGGAGCCAAGCCTTGAGGCTGGGCCTCAGTGTCCCAGATTCCAGGACACAGACCATGGCCTTAGCTATTCAGGCAAGGGCTATCCTGGAAGACCATGTGAAGACTCTCGAGGCTGACTGTCCATCTCATCCGTTTCCTTCCTCTTTAAGAACTGCTTTTGCTAGAATGTCTAGCCCTTAGATCAACAATCCCTGGTCTTTTATCCTCCTTTAAAGCAGCCAAAATACAAAGTTGATATTTAGAGGCCTCATTAATGAGACAATGATCCAACACAAATTCCCAGATGATTTAAATAGAAAAAAAAGCAGATGCTTCCCAAGGCAAGAACCCCCCAATTGTAGTGCCCCAATAGCTTCTGGAATATTCTTTGTGTGCAAGCATTTGTTGCTGCTGTTGTTGTTTATTTTGAGATGCTATGGGATCAAAGCCTTAATCTTGTTTGATGATGCACAACAATCACAAATCCTAAGACCAAATGAAGCAGTAACAATAGGATGGGCTGATGTTTTAATCAGCTATTGCATTACTGTGACCAAAAGACCTGACAAGAACAATTAGAGGAGGAAATGTTTGTTTGGCTCACAGTTTTAGATGTCTCAGTTAATATATAGCTGACTCCATTGCTGTAGGCTCAAGATGAGGCAGAACATCATGGCAGATCGGCGTGGTAGATGAAAGCAGCTCAGGACATGGCAATCAGGGTGCAGAGAGAGCTCT